ATGCTTTGTTAAACATTACTAGATTGTTCCAGAGCAAATGTATCTTGATCTAGAGCCATGAGGAAGTTCACTAAACAAATCTGACTTAAAACACTTTCTAAGCTATAGCCTTTGTACGTAAATCAATTTTAACAAAAAGGTATCAATTTAAATTGCTTTTAATTCTAAACAATTCTGTAAATCAGAACCAGGACAAAGTGAAATATTATATTTTATAATTGAAAATACATTTCTTCCAAGCAATCCATTCTTCTAATAATTAGGCCTTTTATTACACATCACAAGTATATAAAAAATGTACCTGGCATGTCCAAAAACACTACATGTAAGTTATTTGTCATTGAACATAAAAATAGGATAGAACAGCAAAGCAAGGGCATCACACATAACAGCATAGTAGCAGGCCTTCTTAAATAGACAACCAAGGACCAACATAACATTCTAACAAACCAGAAATATGGGTAAACCCCCAAGCTGCAGCACCAACCTGAGAGCAGTAAGACATTATCAAACTGCCAACTTTGAAGCTAAGCAGGTGTGAGCCTGGTCAGTACCTGGATGGGAGACCTCCTGAGAAAAACTAAGGTTGCTGCTGGAAAGGTGTTAGTGGGGCCAGCAGGGGGCGCTCACCCTGTGGTCCACGTGGGTCCTAATGCCTCAGTATAGTGATGGGGACACTATACTGTAAACAGGTGCCGTCCTTCGGATGAGATGTAAAACCGAGGTCCTGACTCTCTGTGGTCAATCCCAGGGCAAGGGCGTTTCTCAAAAAGAGTAGTAGATTGCCCTAACCAATCATGGCCTCCTAATAATCCCCATCTATGAATTGGCTACATTACTCTCCTCTCCTCCCCACTAATAGCTGATGTGTGGTGAGCGTTCTGGCGCACTATGGCTGCCGTTGCATCATCCAGGTGGATGCTGCACATTGGCGGTGGTGGAGGGGAGACCCTGTTACCTGTAAAGCACTTTGAGTGGAGTGTCCAGAAAAGCGCTATATAAGTGTAAGCGATTATTATTATTATTATTATTATTATTATTATATCTTTCAATGTAAGCTCTTGTTAGACTCACATTTTCAAAGTGATTCTCAGGTACCCAACAGGGTTGCATTCAGACAATCTTGCAGTTTCATCCATTCTGATTATTGTCAAGCAGCTGAACGTGACTTTGATATAGTCATTCATTAAATCAGGTTTTCAACCAGAAACTTCAAAAAGAAAAAAATATCAGTCCTGCATGTTAAAGCACAAGGCAGGGTTCACCTTAGACTGGATGCCAGTCCATCACAGGGCAGACACACAGACAAACACACACACATCTAAAACCAGATTTTCCGAGAAGCCAATTAACCTGACAGTATGTTTTTAGACTGTGGGAGGAAGCCGGAGCACACAAAGGAAACCCAAGCAAACATTGGGAGAATATACAGTATAAACTTCATGCAGATAGCAACCCAGATCCAGAATTGAACCTAGGGTCCCAGAGCTGTAAGGCAACAATACTAATCACATATAGAAGTCACTTAACTAAGTTTGTGGCTTGTAATATTTGCAACTAAATTAATTTAGGTTCGGTTCGCCATAGCAAGGGGTTTGCATACATTCATCACAACTTTTCCATTTTTTCTATTATCTTATCTTTTTTTATTTAAATGTGTGGAGTAGGTTGTGCGTACAGTATAACTTATATTAATTTCTACTTCAAATTTTTATGACAGCATGATTTGGAGTAACAAAATGTGAGAACTGTGAAAGGGTCTGAATACTTTTGCAAAGCACTGTATTAAAGCATAGAACCATCCCATGTAAAATGTGAAGCCTTTATAATGACACAAAGCAAAACAACAAAATGTAGTGGACATGTAATCCATGTTATGTAGGGCTTGATCCAGATGGTAAAGCAGAAAGCTTATGATTTCTAGGAAACTATAACAAGTTCATTAACAGGTGAGTTGTTCATTGCTTTAATTCAGAAACATTGGTAGGTTTTCAAGCGTGAATTGCTTATTTCAGGTCCTGCTACAGCATCTCTATTGAGTTTAGGTCTGGACTTTGACTAGGCCACTCCAGAACTTTAATTTAGCTTCTTTTCAACCATTCTGATGTGGACTTGCTTTGGTGTTTTGGATCATTGTCTTTCTACATGACCCAACTACTCTTCAGCTTCAGTTCACAGGCAGACTAGACATTCTCCTTAAGAATTTTCTGATACAGAGCAGAATTCATGGTTCCTTTAATTATGGCCAGTCATCCAGGTCCTGGGGCTACAAAGCATCCCCACAGCATCACACTACCACCACCATGTTCATACTGTAGAATGCTGTGTTTGCTTTATGCCAGAGATAATGGGACCCATGTCATCCAAAATGTTTCATAGACTATCCAGATACTACTTGGCAAATGAGAGACAAGCATTTATGTTCTTCTTGGTAAGTAGGAGTTTACGCCTTGCGACTTTCCCATGAAGCCCATTTTTGCCCAGTCTCTTTCTGATTGTGGAGTCATGAACACTGACCTTAGCTGAGGCAAGAGAAGTCTGCAGTTCTTTGGGTGTTTTTTTAGGATCCTTTGTGACTTCCTGGAGGATTTATGCTTGGAGAAATTTTGGCAGGCCGACCACTCCTGGGAGGATTCACTACTGTTTCAAGTGTTCTCCATTTGGAGATTATGTCTCTCACTGTGGTTCGGTGGAGTCCCAGAACCTTAGAAATTGCTTTGTAACCCTTCCAGACTGATAGATATCAACAACTTTTTTTCTGATCACTTCAGGAATTTATTTTGATCATGGCATAATGTGCTTGTTGAATCTGTTTGCTAGCAACTTGACTCTGATGGTAAGGGTAAAAATAAGTGAGGTTATATTGAGCAGGGCTGGCTGTAATCAAGCCTGGCTGTGTTCAATCAGCTGATTATTCCTTTATTTGGGTTGATTTAATTGGGAAATTACTTTTTCACACAGTGCCAGTTGGCATTGGAAAACTTTGTTCATTAAATAAATGAAATAAGCAAAAAATAAGATTTTTTCAGAAAAATAGATTTTGGTTGAAGACCTGAAAACATTCAGTGTCACAAATTTGTAATAATAGAGGAAATCAGTAAGGGGGCAAATACTTTATTTAGGCACTGCTGTCACGTTCGTAAACCCCACCTCTTAAGAACGCTCCAGCCCTTCCTTGTTCAGTACTCATTCCCTGCACCTGCCCCTGGTTCTTGCCCCCCGTCCTATAAAAGCCGGGCACTCACTTTGTAAAGGGGTCTGCATTGGTTTCCGTACCAGGCAAGACCGGGACCTGGAAGCGCCTGGCCCCATCAAGCTTTTAAGTTCCTGTTCCTGCCGGTTCCAATGCGGCTCCCGTTTTTATTCTGTTCGTCTTGGATGGACCGCCTGGTTTTGGATTTTCGCCTTCTCTTGGATTCCCCCTTGGACTTGTTTCTGGATTGTTTGCCTCGGCCACACCTTCCCCAAACACGTTTTCATTCCCGACTCCTGCATGCTTTTTCCCCATGTTTTCCTCACTCTACCCCAGATCGTGTCGTCTGCATAGGGTCTTGAAAGAACGATTTCGTTACAACTGCGTGTACTAAGTAATCACATCCAATATTCATTTCCATCAGCAATGTCGGACTTTGATATTTACTATTTTTCATTGATGTATATACCAACCACATCATTAAAAATAATTTCCAAGAAAGGGGAAAGTACTTGTGATTTCTACCTCAAATCACACTTGCATGTCACTATGCATCTTAAACCACATCAATCGATGGTAATTAAGGAGGGATTTTAACAGCGAAAAGAGGCCTGAAGAATTTTCTGTTCAAACTGGGAGGCCCCATCAGGTCTGAGACCCCTGTTTATCTTTTATCTTTGACATCAGACATGTAATGTGTATCCCATCACATTATAATATGTGTAGTGTAATGATGTGAGGTCACATTGTAGTAGGTATAATGTACTGATATAAAGTAATGTGATTAAATTACCTTCAAGGTCACTTTGAAAGAGGAAGTGTAAAATTTGTTATTTCAAAATATGAGTAAGAAATGTGTCCCAAAGCATTATTCCACATTTCAGGTTAGCAAAATATATAAGATTAGTGCCTCCATTTAAAGGACAGGGAGTTGAAACTTTAATTCAGCTTTAAAAGGTTACTAAAGAATTTGAGCTGGCCAAAGGCATTTCAGCTGCTTTTCCACACAATAGTACTTTGTACTAAGGCTCCGGAAGTTATTCTGTGCTCTTCACAATGAGCAGTCTTTAAATTATGATATGGTAATGCCCACAGTTATAACAGAAGTTTAAGAAATCTGTACCGGAAGTTAAGCAGATCCATATGGAATTTTCTAGACAAAAGGAGTTTGGTAGTTGGTGTAGAAATGTGAAGGTGAATCAAAGCTGAATATCTTATAGGAATGATTTTAATGGAAGGGTAGTGCCATGCCACTGAACTTTTACTGATATTGTGTATCAAAGGTATCCTGTAAGACACTGTTTCCTATTACATTTGAGGCTGGGCTGATATACAGTAGGAGGTTGATACAATTTCTGTCTTATTGCTGCTTGTCCCACTGAGCATTTGCTGAGATTGAAAAGATTGGCTATTTAGTTTTTTCTTTGCTGTTTTTACATTTCTGAGATCTTTTGCAGACTCAGATAACCCCCTCACCTGGATTGTTGACTCCCTCCTCTTTCCCCTTCAGTGATTTATCAAGCAGCAGCACCACTGTTTGTTCCTTACAATTAATTTGATTATATAAAATATATGCTTATTTTAGAATATATAATTCTCACAACTACTTTTACTGTAGACACTTTTACATAAGTTCTACTGTAGGTAGATTTAACTGTTTTATCAATACTTTTAAGTTTTACTAAGATAATCACAATCACCTGTTCATTACTGTATCTTATTCTAGAATTTTTTTTAATATAGTATTAATTTTTACACTTGGTTATCTTCATTCTTTAATACAGTAACTCTCTCTTGTGTGTTACAGGGGGTTCATGAATCTAAAGGAGTGAGTGATGATTATTTGAAACTGGAGTCCCTGATCCAGAAGGTTGTCTCTCCTTACTTAGGGACACATGGACTATTCTCTGGTGATGGAATGGTGACGCAGTGCTCATGTGTTATGGGTGAGATTCCATTCAAAACCAAAATGTTGCATTTATTGTAATCAATGACTGGAAAAATAAGATGTGCTGTGCATTTGTTGTTTGAAGTTTCTTTTTATTGTTTGAGGATGCCTTACGGCTGAAATATTTTTTAAAGTCACAAAATGTAAAATTCAAAATTAGATATCTGCAAGCAGTACATAGTTTGGAAATATGAAAATTGCAAAACTAGAAAAAGAAATGTCTTTGATGTTAACCAGATTCTCATCATTACCCAGTTTATAAATTAAAGTTATCAGCTTCAATGTTGTATCCTAGGTAAATGGAGTCCATAAATAAAATATGTAAGTAACGATATAGAATGTTTTGAATATCCATCACTTATTTACATAGTCCCCTTATTGTGTAACAAAGACATCCTAATGACAGTTACCATTTGTACCAAAAGCTTTCTGGTTTTTGTGTTAGCCACAAAACAGGAACAGTTGCAAAACAGGAACATTGGCAGATCTTTCAGGGTCCAAAATGTGCATGGAGAAATGTTCAAACATATGTACAGTATTAGTGTGTGGATATTCAATCTGTAGTCCCTTCAGTCCTCTCCATTATAGGGCTTTGATGTAATCAGCTCCATAATTGCTTCTTCTAATTCTAAATTATTAAATAATAAATGAACTGTTTAATTCATAAATGGGTCACTGTGGCAGAGATTGAAAGTATGTTGAATTACACTTAAAAACAAAATGGAAAAAAAGCATTATAGATGTCAGTGAAACAAGTCTTACATGATTGTGAGAAGTGAGCATGCAGGAGGAAACTCAGTTAAAATGAGAATGAACTGTCATGAGTTCGTCCCTGACAGAGACTCCCTTTGTCCCTCCAGAAAAGAGATTGCTGCGGCGCTGTCCCAAACCAGGGGAGGGTATAGGAAAAAACCCAGTGGTGCGCTCAAAGAGTTACAACAATCCAATGCTGACCCCCGTGGCTGAGTATGAGACAGAGATGGGCTCTGCCAATGGAGCGAGCATTCGGCGCCACTCTGTCTCAGAAATGACTTCCTGCCTTGAAGACCAAGGCTACTCCAACCTCACCACAATCATGGATGTGGATTCCAAAGTGTCTATGACCATGGCCGGCTTTTCAGGGGAGCAGGACCTGATCTTGACAGGTGATGCCTCACCTTCCCCTGACCCACAACCGGAAGATTTAGAGGGCCAAGACCTCAGTGATGAGCAGGCTTCTCCTACTGAGCTCGTCAAAGACTCCTCATCCATACCAGCCTGCTCTTCTAGCCCGGAAACAATAGTGGACCAGATTTTGGAGTCCATGGACTCGGATCCAGAAGGACTTTTCATTGATTTTACTCACCGCTGTTCAGACTCCCCTAGCTACAACAGGGAGCCTAGCAGACGGAGTGTGGTGTAGGGGGATTATGACACATCAGTTACAAGCAGGTGTGCTTGGTGAGGGGTTGACAGTAACTGTGACAATCAGCAATGCAGTATTTGATTCTGGCTAGTTTCTTGCGAGATTGCTTGACAATTTTTATGGTATTTTTATCACTTTGATATTTTTTTTAATAAACTGAGATTTGTTCATCATAGTTCACTGCCAGAAATCCACTTTTGTTTTAAGCATTCTACTTCACCAAAGGTGCTGTACATTAAACTTAATTTTCAATTAAGGGAATTGTGAACACCATCTGCCTGTCCCTGTAAATTATGGTTTGATATTGTATTAGAGGATTCTATCACATCATGTGAAAAGCATCCTTTCATTAGTCCTGCTTAGTTATTTTTCTCACAGTAATTGGTACTGGCTTCTAAAATGACTTTGTAAAACTATTTTGCAAAGAACATAATAGGGGAAGCAAATGAGCATTGCATAAAACAAAATGAGTGACAGGAACTAAAGCATTGGAAAATATTATGATTCTTCTAGCTGAAGAACCTTGTGGTTTTGCATTGTACTTCCTGGCCAAGATGTTAAACAAGAGGAGGAAGCAGATGGGTTTACACTTCCACTATTAAGTTGAATAATAATGAAGAACGTTTGATTTTCATTTTGTTTTTTCTTTCAATCATGGTGTACTGTACGTTAGAAATGTCCTACCCCAGTAAGTGATTGTTTGATGGAGTAGCATTATACTGGAATAGTACTTGAAATATGGTGGTGTTGAACATTTAAATGTTACACTGTAAAATCTCTTAAATCCTTAACTTTTGGTGCAGTAGAAGCAATTGTTTGTAACTGCAGGGTCATCTCTTCTGCATCACAGAAACAGTTATCACTGGTACCTGTAGTGGAAAATGAAAATTGTTTTTTATGGCATCAAAGGGAAAGTGGAGCAGACATTGTTTTCTGCCTGGAGTTATAAATTAATAGTTTCTTTAGTTAGTACGTGCGTCTGAGCATTTAATAGAGATGTCACTTACTTTTGGTTTACTTGCACCTATTAGCCTATAACAACTAAGATTTGTTTTTAAAACTACTGAGTAGTAAAGAACAAAGCAAACACAGTTCCGATTCACAGAATTTTAAAAAGCACATAATGTCATTCGCAATCTAATTTTTGTTTTTTTCTTCAGTTCTTTTGAAATAAATTACAAATTAAAAACAAATTAAATAATGTGATTGGAAGATTTTTCACCGATTTTGTATTTTTGAAATATATAGAAATATACATTTTAACTGTCAGAGAAAACTGATTTGCATTTTCAAGATATTTGCACCAAGAAAAATAAAGATAATTTTCGAAAAAGTACCACAAGGGAGTGTGCATGATAAATCTTTGATACCTGTTAACAGAATTGATATTCTGGAAGTGGTAAGCATGGAGGTTACTGGTCTTTTTCACAGAAGTACAGCTGATTTTTCCTTATTTGAATGAGTACAGGGCTTTTCTTACATTGCTGTGAACAACTACACTTTTTACATTAAATACTGTGTGTAGACTGGTTCTCATATTCTTCTGCAGCTCAAAAGAGATAAAATGAACACTAGAGTCTGAAATCCTCATATACATTGCCTTCCCAAAGTACTCAGGCACTTCCAATGGTGTGCCAGTTGATGAAATTACAAAACGATGCATATACTGTACATTTTTTACATTTACAGTATCTGTGGTTTTCTGTAACATTATCTCTGAGTTGTTTTGAAAGCTCCTTGCTGTTCATGCTTGAATCTTTGCTTAAAATTTCAGTACTTGACTGCTGGACATTACAGAGATATATTCCATCCAACTTTTAACAACTTCTTCCAGTTCAGGGTAGCAGGGGAGCCAGACCTGTTCAGGCATGTAACCAACACATGGCAGGATACTGCAGGGCAGATACATACATGCACGCCCTCACACCTAGGGACACTTTTCCCAGAAGGCAATTAACCTACCACTATGTTTTTGGACAGTGGGAGGAAACTCAAGTGAATACTGGGAGAAGACCCGAAATCCACACAGATAGGTCCTAGGTCTGGCATTGAAACCAAGGCACAATCTTTGCGAGACCACAAGACTAGCCACTGTTTTACTGTGCCACCTCCTTAAAGAGATAGGTGTATTTGTTATGAAATCATGTGGACCATTATTTCTGCACACAGAGGTCACTCAACTAATTTTGTGATTTTGTGGCTTTTTTATGGTAATGTAATGCACTTAAATTATTTTACATTTGCCAAGAGTTTGAGTTTTCATTTATCACCACTTTTCCATTTTCTTTTAGGTTATATATTTACCTCTTTTTTATTTTTGCTGTATCTGTGGAGTAGATTGTGTATTTAATAAATATTTCTACTTACAATTGTCATGATCGCAACATTAACAATAACAACAACTGTTGAATACTTCTGCGAGGCACTGTATATGAGCATCCAATATCAGACCATATCACTCCTATTCTTCCAAAGTTCTAATGGCTCCCTTTCTACCAGAGAGTCTTGCTCCTGGTTTTTAAGGCTCTTCTGACGTTCTCTTTCAGACTTCACCCTGGTCTTGAAGATCAGGTCAATTTAATCTGCTGCAGGTCCACCAAACCAAACTACCAACTATGGGTGGTTGTTTGTTCTCCGGCTATGCTCCTAGCTTGTGGAATAGCCTCCCAAATCATCTCAGACAAGCAGCTTCAACTGAGACCTTTAAAAAGAATATTAAAACCATTCTCTATCATCAAGTCTATCATCTTCCAGTACTATTTAACATTATATATTATTATTTTTTTATTTATTATTATTACAATGCAACACTTTGTCCAGCACAAAACACAATGCAGGCCCGATGCAGATGGTAATGCCGAAAGCTGATATTTCTATCACAAGTGTTGATGTTTTAAACAATTTCACTGTTTAAGGCTGTTTACACGCCAAAATGTGTGTATGCAAAAGTAGGTCATCATCAGAATTAAAAATCACTATTCTTCATAACAAGTTCAAAAGCTTGGAGGCACAGGATGCATACTGAAAATCAAAGATCGCGAGAGGCCTTGGAGAGAATTGTCCTGTAGTGAATTGTGCAGCAGTGGATTGGCATTTCAGAACATTCTAAGTTCAAAACCTAGCTAAAATGGAATCTTGTATTCTTTGTAATCAATGATTTTATGTGAAGGTGATTGTGAAAGTGAATTAATTAGCATTCAGAATGCCTTGAGACTTTACCACAAATGGCAGTATGAAATATATACAGTACATGTTCATATTGATTAATGCAAGCCGTTTCCCATCCAGACTTGTTTTACATGAAAGGAAAAATGTGTACCTACATGTACAAAGGGAAAACAGAACGTGCACTCATTTATGAATGTTTTGTTAACTCATAAACTACTCTGTAATATTACATATAACCTCACATTAAATATAATTAAATTCTAAAATACAAAATTTAGGTTTCTTTTCAATGTTTTTGCACAGTAGTTTCCGTGCAGGATTGGTTGCATTCTTTTCCTGTAATTTTGGTGTATTTAACGTAATCCAAGCCCTCTCAAAGAACAGAACTGTTTAAGACTGAAGTCAATCCAGTATATTTGAAAGAACTCCATGTAATTAAGCATGTTACTGGGTTCTGTGTGGGGCTAAGTGCTGCTGTTTCAAAGCTTGTGGTCCTGGGCTTGATTCCAGTTTCGGTGCCTTCTGTGTAGAGTTTGCACGCTCCCTTGTGCCCATGCGGATGTTCTCTGGGTGCTCAAGGTCCATTGCAATGTCTACCAGATAGGATAATTAATTAATTTGTCCTTGTGTATGACCTATAATGGCCGGGTGTAGTGTCTATCAGTGTTTCATGGATAGGAACTAGATGTCCACTTTATTTGGAATTATCAACTTTCTGATCATGGATAGATTAATATGTCAGCTATTCTTGTATTCTAACAAAAAGACAACTTGAAATAAAGACAACAGCCACAATCAGCCACCTTCAAAGACTAGTTTGGGAATTTATGATTGGTGGATGGTTGCAATGTTTTATTCCAGGGTTAAAGGAGGAAAACACTAATAATTGTACAAAGAAGACTCACACTTAATATTTTCTGCTGGTAATCTTAACACCTAGCATCTTCAGGTGTTCCTTTTGAACACGTATACTGTATACTGTATATTACCTTTCCGATATTCTAAAGGTATAATACAGGTTTTAGCTCAAATTACAGTGCCTGATCAGAAAAGGACAAAATCACTTCTTCAAATATTCACAAAAGGCTTAGTCAGAGTGAATAATTCTAATGTTGGCATGTAACCTTTTTATTAATACTGCATACAGCTTGAGAGAATGTAGCATAACTGCCCATGATTTCCAGGCATTCACACCATAAAATATATTTAACATCCAATGGCTGAATATTTCTGCTTCTGAGGGTGAAAAAAACAAGTGATTTTTGTCATTAATCAACATTCAAAATTGATGCATCATTGAAAACAATTTAATAATACAATGCAGTCTGAAAAGGGCACACAATATATTTTTTCCCATTAATATATATTTATGGAAAAAGAAATACAACACCTCCTCCTCCACACTCTGGCCCTCCGATGTGCATGAGGACTTGATGCCAATGGCGACGAGTCCATTGCAGCCTCTGTCTGCCTGTCCAACTTGTCTGGCAACGCTGGCACATGACATGCCTGCCTGCAGCATGCCAATGGCCCTCTCCCTTGCTTCTGGTGACATTTGAGGCATTATGGAATGCACAGAAAACTGACTAACTGTGGCCTTTTTCTTGCAATGACCTAAGCTTTGAATTAAAGCCTTTTAAATGACCTGATCAGGCATTGTTCAACCTGGACCTCGTTGGGTAAAAGTGCACCTCACAAGTTTTCATGTGATTGGCAAGTTGCAATGCCTCACTGCACAACCTGTATTGCTGATCAGAGGGCTTAAAACAAATTTGTGAAAGTGCATAAGCAATAACTATAGTATTCTCATTCCAGGTTATGTTATGTTTCTCTTTCCCATTACTATACATATATATAGTTGCTCTTCTTTCAAAATAAAATTGGTGTAATGATATTTGATATACAGTAAATCAGTAATGAGTAACAACTGGGAGCATTACTTTCCTAATTACCTAATAGCCCATCACTGTGGTTTAGTGAGCATCAAAACAAGATTGCTGTTTTGTAGAACTTTCAAACTGATTGGTAGTGAGTCAGCTTTAGTTTCAGGAAAATATTATTAATATAGACAGTTAGCATCTTTCCACAGGGGTCTTCTACTTTTCTGTGGAGCCGCATGGCAGATTCTACATTTCTTGCCCTGGTGAGGGGTGGGGGGGGATGTATTTACATTTTCAGATAGGGTTCAATTGGACAAGTTTAGCAGTTTCTTCAGGACCAGGATTATGAACTTATGTTACTCATCACCTAGTTCTAATATTTAGGAAAACCTGAAATCTGCTAATTAAGCAAGTATTGTGTTTAAGACAATTCTGATCCTTGAGGGCTGAAAGGTCATAAGATCTCAACCCAGGGCCCTAGCAGTACAAGGCAGCCATGCTAACCACTGTGCCATCCAAGTACTAAGATTTTGGTCACACTTGATGATTTCTGAATTACTTAATTTAATAAATCACCTGCTTGACTGAACTCAGTTAAATTGTTCTAAATCTTTATTGGTGCACAGAGGCTCCCTAGAACCAGGGTTAGAGACCCTTACATTAACACGATGTAGAAAACCATAAGATCAGTTATACAATAGGCAACACTTTTCCTGAAGTGCTGGGCTCCTGCAGTACAGACATTCAGTACTAGTGCTCCTAGTGAACCCTGCAGTAGATTTTCATGCTAACCAAGATGTTCTTAACTGAAGCAGGTAATTCATCAAGGTTGCTGTTTATCAATCACTGAAGATGCTCTCTAGGGCTAGGACTGGAAACCAATGACAGTAAAATTTCATGTTTATTAACATATGTTTATACATTCTAATTTTCCAGGATTATTTAATTTCAGTGTGTGAAAAATAAATGTATTAATTAGGAGAAGGTATTGAGGTGACCCTTTAAAGCTGGGCTAGTTTAACTTGCATCCCTTCCAGCCTACTTGCTGCAATCAGCTTCATAAATGTTCTTGGTAATTAGCATGACTTAAATAACAAGCAGATTGGAAGTTGAGCATGTTAGTATAGAGATTTATTTACTTAATGATTAGGGTTTTATAACTTTATTCCATCTAACAGCGTCAATGAAAACAAGTGACTTTAAAAAAAATATTAAAAAACAAACCTTGTATGCATTATTTGGACTGGTCTGAAGATCCAGTTAGTGGCATAACTTGTAATATCTGAAAATAGGTGTCTTCTGTGGGGCTTTGGGCTATTTAGTAATTAAATGAACATCTTTAAAACATTTTGCTAATAAAGTTGCTATTAAACCCAGCATTGTAGAAATGAATATACTGGATATGGTCTTTTTATAATGTATTGTATCAAAACTGATTTATTTGATACCAGCAATTAAGCAACAACATCTAGGTTTCAGCACTTAGTGAATGAACAATGCCTTTGCTACAGTATCTTAAGGCCTCCTGACAGGCAAGTCCTGCTTGTTTGTGCTTCTTTCGATGAAATTCTGAGAGAATGTTCATTCTAATTTAATGTTGAAGAGTATTGACATACAGATGCAGCCATTCAAAATGCGCGGGCGATACCGCATTATTTTCCGGTACGCTGTACGCAGTCTACCGCGAGTTACCGGTAAATAC